GAGAGAGAGTTCCTTGTTAATTTAAGATTGCATATTTTGCCAAAATTTGAGGTCATGAAATTGAGACCATTCATTCACCGTCAAGCCAATGAGAGTTGGGGCAAACATGCCAAAAAGCCTTGAAGAGATAATAATATCAGCAACTGTTTTCCTCCTTAACCCAAAATTTGGGCTTGATCATGTCCAAACGTACACATTAATAATTTCCAAGAAGCTGCACAGTAGTTGATCAGAAACTCATGGCTCATCAGAGTGAAATGAAACAGGGGTCGTTGTTAAGAACAATTTGAAAGTGTCTACTTTTGTCTCCTATCTATAAACCGTGTCCGTGTGGGGGCTCTTTTCTTTGTAGTTTCTTTGCGTTCAAATTGGAATTCGGATTATTCTTTCTTTCTTTCTTTGAACTATAAAGTCAAGGCCAACTGTCAAATAATTTGAGGCACGCATGATAAAGATGATGTTTGGTGTGAAACGGACATGATATTACTACCACGCGAGAGGATGTAAAATGTTTTTCCAACCAGGTGCATTTATAATAGAGAAGACTATTTTATTTCGCTTATAGGAAATGTGTTTCGACTGTTAGATTTATTTTTTAAATGTTTAATTTACAGTTAGAATAGTTCGGTATCGTGCATAAATTTAGTTGTTAAAGAAAAAACAATGCAACGGTTAAAAATAACAGTTCTTATCGGTGGAGCAAAATAACCTTCTACACTGTAAAGATTCTCTTTTTTGGACTCAAATTTTTTGTCTAATTTTAATATATCAATTAGTGTCTAAACAATCATATATACCATGCCACTTCATGTAAAAAGAAAAATTAAACTACATTTTAATTAACTCTTCTTGCTTATCATGAGATTGTATGGGATGATATAATTAGTTAGACACTAAGACGCTAAAAATAAAACAAAAGATCCGAATCCCTCTTTCTTAAATTGATATTTTTGAGTCCTCTTGGCACTTGAATGTCCAAACTCACAGATAACTGATTAATTGTATGCAGACGCTTGACTGGGTAATAACACTTTGGCATAAAATGTACAAAAAGAAAATCTTCCTACAATCGTGTCATGTCCAAATCACCCACTCAGGACCAAGTCATGACATCGGATAAAATCTACATAAATAAAACTCAAGATGCTTTTCGCTTCACAATTAGGCAAGTTTTGCTTCACGATCAGGGTATCCTTGGTAAAGGCCAATATCTAAAAGCAATAATACGTACAAACCCAATACAAAGGACAACGTGTTTTATTACGAGTCCTGTTGTTGTTGTTGGGAATGGTTAATGAGACTTGATTTTAGTTCTCTCTTTCTCTAAAATCTTTCATAAGTTTTTCTATCACCACTCAATAAAGATAAGATACCTTTTACAAAGTGTCCATCATCCATACTTTTAGCCTCTCAATTTCGTTTTCTTTCCTTTTCTTTTTCTTAGGTAGGCTTCGAATATTTCTTATTCTGGCCTGTTTTGGTTCACAATATCTCTAATTCTCTATTACATATAATTTCCCATTTGTTTAACTTGGATTTCAGAAGAATAGTTTATAGTATCAAAATTACTCAATGAACCAACAGGCGATATTTTACATGAGAAAACAAAACGAAATAGAAATATATGCAACTATTGCAGAATTAATATAACACTTTTTATACTAATCAACTATTATAACATTCGAAAAGGACTATTATGCGGTTTGCAGAAATACCAGCCAGCATGGAATTCATTTTACCTATCTTTTCTTTTTCTTTTTCTTTTTAGCAGCTCACTTTTTAGCTTTCACCTTCTTACACAGTATATATAGAAAAAGGTATATAAATATATATATATATATATATATATATTCGGTTGAAACTTTCTACACTAAACATATCTCTCACAAGCAAAACAAGTCAATTACTTTTCATTTTCTAGCGATAATCAAGTTCCTTTCTTTGTTTCTTTGAAGAAAGATAACAAAAGTTATAATTATTTTTCCTTTTTTTGTTTCCTTTTGAAAGAAGAGACCAAATAGAGAATTAGGTAGTATACTACAATTTTTATACGTATTCAGATTTATGCCACAATTTTTTTATGATAATGATTTATGTTACATTTTGTCATTTTTTCCTATTTTATTTGTATGGCACAAATAAACATGGTCAATATTTATGGCACAAATCTGAAGCTGATGATTTTTGGTGGCATTCCTAATAATTTCTCTTAAAATTGAGATACTAAACCAGTCCACATACAGGAAGGGACTATAATGCCAACTTACGAGGCAATTATCAGAACTTCATATGTTGAGTTGAAATTTAGTAAAATTTTTAAAATATCATAAAAAAAACATAATAATTATCTAATAATGTAACAGTTTATGCTAAATAATTATATAAATATTATTTTAATCATAGTAATTATATGATAATATCAAGTTTTGTTATTCTTATAACATTTCAAAAATTTTGTTATAGTCCAACTATACTTTTTAGGGAGAAAGAGGAAAATATGCCAAAACTTAAGATGAATTAAAATTAATAGGCTAATAGTTTACATAAGTTAATAAATAGGCCAAATTATTGTTTTCGTCCATAACTTGTCTGATTATGAATCATAACTTGACAAGTTATTGTCCATAATTGTCCATAACTTGTCTGACTATAAACCATAACTTGACAAGTTTGTCCATAACTTATCTTGTTATAAACCATAACTTGATAAGTTATAGTCTATTAATTTCTATAACTAAAAATTGACTTATATACTTTCTTAAATTTTTCATATTGGCATATTTTCTACTATTTTCCTACTTTTTAATTGTGTTATATCGGGAAAGAGCCCTTAGCTGCATAAGTTAGACTGGGTCTTTGGGATTTTGTTCTTCTTCCCGGCTATGCATGTTGCGTGCAAGACCAATTGCTTTTAGACACGGCCCATTTAGCCCATCTGAGGTTTTGCTATTTATGAAATGGCCGAATTCAGTAGCGCGCATCATAATTAAAATTTTATCAAGATCACTATATCATGAATGGATTATTAAAATTCTGTCAAATCTATACAACTGAAGTTAATAAGTTTTAGGCTCATTTTAGTAGCACCTTCTACCGATAGTACACATTTTTAACGGTTGGATTTGGTTAAAACTGCATTAAAATAAAAAAATATACAGAACAAACAGTTTTTAATACATATTTAACGGCTAAAAATAGACTTATTAGAAGTTATTTTTTCAGATCCTATCTAAATATCTGTTAAGTTTAATAGTGTATTAATTTCATGATGTGTATGGCACTTTTTTGAATAGTGTATAGATTGTGGGAGTGGGAACTTCATGTACCTCAGCCCTACCAAACAAAATATTGAGGGCCCGTTTATTTCATGCGTTTAAACTCATAATTTTAATTTTATTATAGTATTTTTTTCTTATAAAAAATTTAAATTTCAAATACTAAAATAAAAAATTTCTAATTTAAACGCATAAATTAAACGAACCCTAAACCGTAAAATATCATAACCAAAAGTAACTTCTACTTTGAAAGCATACAAACGTTTAGCTTAACAAAAAGATTTAGTTTAACTGTACTACTAGGTCATCGTACAACGTACAAGTAGTGAACTTTTTTAAACTATAAATGTTTTTTTTTTTTAATTTGATTTCCTCATATACGGATAATTTAATTGTAGTAGGTAATCGAAGATTTACATACAAAAATCAGTTAATGTAAATTATAAAAGGGAATCTATAGTAGAAAAAGGAGTTCTTTGAATGCTCCTATGTAAAGAAGAGTGGATATATAT